GCAAGCTGAACTGAGTACTATATCAGAAGATGGCAAAGAATACCAATTGAGACTAGAAAGCACAGTTCCTATTATTTGTTCTGAATTCAGTGTGCTTAATCAAGAATGCAAAATCTCATTAAAATTGAAAACTGTTGATCCAGGTAATATACTAAATTTAATTGCATTATTAAGTCTAAAATTTCAACAAAATATTTCCCCCTCTTAAAAATATTACTGCTATGTACACATTTAATTAATTCTGTTGCATGTTTTTATATTAAATTATATCTAAACCTTATTACTAATACTGATGCCTTTGAGTTGTGGTGCTGGAGGAGAGTCTTGAAAAATACCATGGACCACCAAGAAAACAAATAGATCTCTCTTGGAGAGGGTAAAACCAAGTTTCTCCTTGGAGGCTAACATTTTGAAGCTCTGTCTAACAACATACTTTGGACGTGTGGCCAGGAGGGACCAATTCTTGGTGGACATCATGTTCAGAATGGTGGAGGGACAGGGAAAGATATAAAGACCCTGGATAGAATGGATTGATACAGTAACTGGGACAATGGGGGTAGGTGTAACAGTCAGTGAGACTGGCTTAGGACAGGACAGGCTTCAGAACTGTTGTACATAGGGTCACTGTAAGTTGCAGGCAACTCAACAACACAAAATAACAAACAACAATATGTTAAATTTATGATTATCAGAGCAATTCACATTTATCCATCTTGAGTTCAATGCATAAATGAAAAAAATAATAATGCAAAGGAGCCCTAGTGGCATGATAGTTAAATGCTTGGCTGTTAACCAAAAGGTCAGAGGTTCAAACTCATTAGTGGTTTTACTTGAGAAAAGAGCTGATGAGTTGCTTCCATAAAATTATAATTTAGGAAGCCACCTTTGATAATTGTATTCTGTCATAAAATCTCTTTGTGAGTTGGAATTAACTCAATGATACACAACAACAAAACAATTCCGATAAGAGTCCTTTTACCCTATTGTTCTGTTTCTCCTCCTTTTCCTCATCTTCCTCCTTATTCTTCTCTTTTCCTAGTCTTTATAGATTGAGGAACAAACTACTCTTTCATACTTTCACTTCAGTGATAAGAAGCTATGCTGCAATCCCAAAGGCATGGCAGTTAGAATCCCCTACCTGTTCTAGGGAAGAAGGATGGACAATCTCCTTGTGTGAGATTTACTGCCTCTGAAAACCTGCTGGATGGTCAGCTGTGAGTCAGTTCTGACTCAAAGGCACACAATAACAACAACAAGGGTGATATAATGTTGTTGTTGTTGTCGTTGATGTTATGTGCCATTGAGTCGCTTGCAACTCATAGTGACCCTATGTACAACAGCTCTGAAAATTTCCAATTTATGCAACTAGATCTTACAATTTGTTCTTCACAGTTGTGTTTGGGATATTTTGTTTTAGAATTTTAAAATGGAAATTATTTAAGTAATTATATTGATGTGATATATGTCACATGTAGCTCTTTAACCCAGATATAAAAAGAGGACTGAAGTCCTCACATGCTGTTGTTATGTATTGTCAAGTTGCTTGTGAATCATAGAGACCCACCTGCAACAGCTCTGAACCCTGTTCTATCCTGTGTCAACCTTATTGTCTCTGACATACCTACTTCCATTACCTCGGTCACTGAATCAATCCATCTTATCTAGTGTCTTCCTCTCTTGCACTGTCCCTCCACCCTCCAAAGCATGATGTTCCTCTCCAAGGAACGGTCACTCCTTGCAACATACCCAAAGTATGTCAGATGAAGCTTCAGAATCCTTGCCTCCAAGGAGCAGCCTGGTTTCACCCTCTCCAGGACAAAACTGTTTGTTCTCCTGGCAGTCCATGGTTCAATATTCTTCATATTCAACATTCAATATTCTTCTCTGGCACGACAGCTCAAAGGCATCAATTTTCCTACTATCATCCTCACATAGGACATGCTAATTCCAAGACAGTGTTAGAATATTAGTAGCAGTTTGACTTTTCTAGATCTCAATTTTTATCTGACTGAGCTAATTGTTGTTATCTTAAAAGCTTTTGTTTAGTAAGTTCAAGCCTATGAATTAAAATACTTCATGGGAGTTGTTCTCTGTGTTGTTGCTAGGTGTGCGGTCAGTCACAACTCTGTGAACACCAGACCTGAATCTTGCATATTCTATGCCAAAGCCACAATCTCTACCATGCTCAAGCCCATTGTTGCAGTCTCTATGTCAGTGTATCTCAGTGAGGGTCTTCCTCTCTTTCACTGACCTTTTACTTTTTCTGGTAAAATGTCTTTTTTTGCAAAGACTGTTCCTTTCTGAAAATGTGCCCCAAATATGTGAGACAAAGTTTCACTATCTTTGCCTGTAAGGAGCACTCTGGTTGTACTTCCTCCAAGACAGATTATTTGGGTTTTTGGCAGTCCCTGGTATATTTACTGATCTTTCCGTTAGCGATCTGACACATTACGCCACACTATGCCACCAGGGCTTCTTAATATAATTATTAATAATAAATGGTATTATTCCATAATATATTAAACATTTGTATGTGTCCACAATCCCAAAGGCACATGCCTCGAATCTGCTAGCTGCTCCACAGGAGAAGAATGGGCGATCTCTTCTGTGCAATGAGCTGCCTCTGAAAACCGATTAGAGGGTCAGCTATGAATCAGTTTCAACTTGATAGTATAAAACAACAACATGTGTCCTAAGAAAGATTGTAGAGGGGAGCTCTGGTGGCCTAGTGGTAAGGAGCTGCAACTACAATCCCAGAGGCTCACAGTTCGAATCCACCAGATGCTCTGCTGGGGAAGGAGGGACAATCTCCTTCTGTACCAGTCAGATCTGATTTGATGGTACACTCACACAAAAATAATAAAGTAAAAAAAAAAAAAAAAGAAAGATTGTGGAAATACTTGGACCCAAGCCCAAATTTTAGACAAAAATAAAAAATTAGAATATTGCTTGGTGATAGAAGTGTTGTTGTTGTGTACCATCAAGTCAGAACTCACTCATAGCTGACCCTCCAGCAAGTTTTCAAAGGCTGTAAATTTCATGGGAGGAGATTGTCCATCTTTCTCCTGTGAAGCAGCGGGCAGATTCAAGTTGCCTGCCTCTGGGTTGGTAGCATAACTCCTTCCCACCACCAGGATATTAGGATATATATTTTTTTCTAATCTGTAACCAGTTGCATTTGATCTATTGCTTTATAGTTTTATGTAAGTGTACATGGATTTGTCAAGAAAATATAAATTTTGTGCACATATGTGTATACTGAAGCCGATTAACTATTCATAAACACATAGAATTCAATGGCTTTGATTTTGTTTCAACAAAAATTTCAACCACATTTTTAAAATAAGAAAATGAAAGTCAAAGTATTCTGTATTCTATGCTGTTTAAGATTTAAGTGCTTTGACATGTTTATTTCTTTAGGAACATTTTAATGCCCTTGTTTTTGTTAAAATAGGTGAAGAACAACTAGGTTTGAATTTGGCATTATCTTCCTGCCTTGTGGACCTTCATCGGACGGCATCCTGTGATAATGGAACCTGTAGCCATGCTTTTGTATACTACACTGCAGTAACAGATTTTTCTCAAGATGGAGATAGAATTACTAACATTCTGGTGGAACCTATAGTCAGTGAGAATTTCCTATGGAACAACTATATTCCAGATGGCATCCAGGTTGACAAATTACAAAAATATCTTAATAAATGAAGCTTCAGTAAATATTTTATCAGTATGTCTCATAGAATTTGTTGTTGTTGTTGTTATGTGCCATTGAGTCGCTTGCGACTCATAGCGACCCTATGTACAACAGCCCTAAACTCTGCTCTGTCCTGTGCCAATCGCACTGTCTCAGACACTCCCATCCCGACTATCCCAGTTACTGAATCAATCCACCTCAGAGAGAACCTTCCCCTCCTGAGCCGTCCCTCCACCCTCCCAAGCATGATTTAAAAATAATTTGATAAGAAGCACTTTTGGTTTTAAATTATTTAATTTCAACCACCAGTAAAACAGCAATTAATGAACATATATTAAAATTACTAGACAACTTATTGTATACCAGTAAATAACTGTAAATGATAATACTTACCTAACATTTCTTTGCTTTTAAGGTCAGAGTAAAGGATATCCCAACTGCTTACTGTTACTCATTTACTGACCCTCATATAATTACATTTGATGGCAGGTAATCTTCTGAAAATTTTTCTTTTAATAGTTTTGTTTTGCCTTAAATTTTATACTTTTAAAGTTCTTTGTTATTGTTATCACAGAAAAATTACAATGTAAAGACGTGTATGGGTATCATTAGCTTGTTTTCCAATACTAGTTTGTAGGGAGCTCTGGTGACCTAGTGGATAGACTTCCATTGCCAACTCAAAGGTGTGAGGTTTGAATCCACCGCTCTTCCTTACAAGAAAGATGGGCAGTCTCTTCCAGTGAGATTTAATGTCTATGAAAACCTGGTGTGTGTGTGTGGGGGGTCAGTTATGGCTTGATAGCAATGACTTAGAATTTATTTGCATAGTTTTTCCCCTTGAAATACACTTATTAAAAACATGGACTAATTATAAGGATGAATTTATAAAAACCAAGATTATTGCAAATGTAGCCAAACATTTTTTGCCTTACTATTTATTTTCAGTAATATGATTTATTTTCAGTTATATGATTTGCTTTAGAGATACTTGCTTACTGAGATGTGTTTAACATGACATTGAAATAGTTTTAAGGTTTTTATGCAAAAAAAACCCTGTCAAGCTAAAATGTTGGAATAGTTAACAAACCACTTTTAGATGCCCTGTGGAGTGAATTTTGACCTGCTAACTTCATGAGTCACAGGCGACTCGATGGCACATAACAACAACAACTTCATGTATGTCAGAGTAAAACTGTACTCCATAAGGTTTTGAGTGGCCACTTTGTCAGAAATAGAGCACTAAACTTTTATTCTGAGATGCTACTATTGGCCTCATATCTCTAACTTTTTGGTTAACAATTGAGAGTATTAAACATTTGTTGTACCAAGGGATATGGAGAATTCTTTAACAGAATTCAATTCTACAGGATTCAGTGTGAAGCCAGAGGAAACTCTGGCAGAACTCTGTAGCAGTCCTGAATGGTGCAACAACTAAGGGTTAAACCATTTTCTAAGTGCTAGCACTATGGCAATGACTAAAACAAATGTTTTCTGATAATACCTTCTAAAAGGTGATGAGAGAAAGAAACATGACTAATAAATAAAATATATAGTGCACTTGATGAAGATATGTGCTATTAGAAAAACTAAAGGAGAGGTGAAGAAAAAGAAGGCTGGAATATATTAAAAGATTGTATGTTAAAAGATTCTAGTGGTCTAGCGATAAGGAGATGTGCTATGAACTTGAAGAGAGGCAATTTGAATGCACCAGCTGATCCATAAGAGAAAAATGATCAGTTTCCTCCTGTAAGAAACCTGCTGGAGGGCCAGCAAGAATTAGTTCTGATTTGATGGCACATAATGATAACAACAACAATAACAACACACTATATTCAAATAGAATGGTTACAAAAAGATCAAATGTAACCTGGATACTTCAAAGACTTGAAGGAAATAACCCTGAGCACGTGAGAAGAGCTTTCAACAAATCTGTTTTCCTTGAGGAGAATAGGAAATGGAGGATAAGAATATTTAAGTGTTTATCATGACTTTGCTTTATTCATTCATGTACAAATAAATGCTCATAATTAAGAAAGCTATTGGAAATTTAGATATGTAATTTTCTATCAAAATATATTAAATGTCTATTTAGTAAGAAATATTTTTGTTTGATAACTTATTATTGTGATATACTTATTCTTAATGCAGTTGACTTTTGTTAATGACAGAGAGTATGATAATTTCAAGACGGGGACATTTGTGCTCTATAAGAGTTTGTCTCGTGACTTTGAAGTCCATGTACGTCAGTGGGACTGCGGAAGCCTTCATGCTCCTGGATCTTGTAACTGCGGATTTGTTGCCAAGGAAGGAGGTGATGTAGTTACTTTTGACATGTGTCGTGGCCACCTACACGAATTACGGCCGTACTTATCTGTAAAGAACCAAGATAGAACCAGCAATATCAGGATAAGTGAAGCTTATTTAGGAAGAAAAGTCACAGTATGTATGATTCTTTATTCTTAAACACATTTCTTCTTTATTTTCTACAGTTATAGTTTAATGACTATTCATCTGCATAAAATTAGTAGCTATTATTTCCCCCCCAATATTAGTTTTTCAAGAACGTAGCATTTAGAATTAGCACTGATCTTAGCAGGTATAGAGATGTAAACTTACATATACACCATATATTAAAAATACTTTAAAAATTTTTAAATATATATCCGTAGGAATAAAAAGTATATCTACAGTAAAATATTTTGCTTAGGGGGCCTCCTGGTAACCTAATGATTAAGGAGTTGTGCTGCCTATCCAAAGGCATGCAGTACGACCCAACAGGTGCTCCATGGGAGAAAGTCTCTTTCTATGTGTTTACAGTCAAAACCCCCCTGGAGGGTCAGCTGTGAGTCATTTCCAACTTGATAGCACATAAAAGCAACATATTTACTTTAAAAAAACAAAAAAATTTATATATACATAGATGTTCAATTGCACAAAAGGAGATTGTCTGTTTTTCTCTTACAGAGCAGCTGGTGAGTTTGAAACATGTGCATTTTCCACATACCACATACAAATAGATAAAATATCATTAAACTTAGTAAAAACTGAACTATTGTACTGAAGATTTCGATTTGACAACTTAAAGTATTATATATAAAAATATTTTTACCATATATAATAAATAATGTATTTGACAGGAATGAAACATAATTGATAGCACATACTCAAGAAAAAGAAATTCTTTTTTTTAATTATTATTTTGTGTGTGTGTGTGTGTGTGTGTGTGTGTGTGTGTGTGTGTCTGTGTACCGTCAGATCAGATCTGACTGGTAAAGGAGGAGATTGTCCCTCCTTTCCCGGCAGAGCATCTGGTGGATTTGAACCATGCGCCTCTGGGATTGCAGTGTAGCTTCTTGCCAATAGGCCACCAGAGCTCCCCTAAGAAAAATAAATTCTCTGTAGAAATATTGCATAGTGTGGTTTCAGGAAGAAACTAGTATAAGTGGAAGAGAATTGAAAGTGTAGAAACAGAGTCAAGGCTATATATTTATTAATATTTTTTAAAGATGATATTCCATGCCTGTGAACTAGGTTTATTCCTGTTACTTGTTAAGAAATGTAAACTCAAGGTAAATAAAACCTAAGCTTAAATGAAAGTGCTAGAGAAGTGGAGGAGAACCCTGGTGACCCAGTAAAGATCAGCCAGGAGGAGGGTAAAGTGTATTTGCTCGTTTGCTTTAAATACATTTTCTTGGTGATGAACTGATTATCATAGTTGTTAAAAAAATTTTTTTTTAACTAAAAAGTTAGGAGATTTAAGTAATAAACAGTCAATTTTTGGTGGCTCTCGTGAGTACAGAGTCTCCCTATAGGTTGCTGGTCAAGGGGAAGTGATATTCTTATAATGGATGAAGTGTATATTGATTAGATGACAGAGACTATTAGGATCATCAATAAGACACCCTTATTCCAATTCCATATCCACAAAACAATTTTCTGAGCATAATTTGACTTCTGATTCTGTTTGTTTGTTGTGATTTACCACTGAGTCAGAATCAATCCATAGCTGATAGGTTTTCTAAGGCAGTTGGTCTCATGGGAGGAGACGGCCCATTGTTCTCCCGCAGAGCCGCAGAGCCACTGGTGGATTTGAACCACCCACGTGCCTTTGGGATTGTTGTGCTGCTTCTTGCCTCTAGGCCACCAGAGCTCCCTGTTTGCTTGGTGAAAGCGAAAGAATGTTGATTAGCCGCAGAGGACATCAACTTGTCTGAAATTATATTTTCACATATATAAATTACTTTGGAAGCAGGCGTGGCATTCACTTCCTAGCTACATGCCTCCGGAAGCTCTATAGACTTTGATAAAGGACGATAGTTATAGAAAGGCTTCCGGCCTTTTGTTCATAGGGCCGCTATGTGTCGTGCTCAACTTGACGGCAATCAACAACATATACAACAGACTTAGCTTCATATGAAATAATTATTATGAAAAATATTACCTGATAAACATCTTCTTCAAGATTTAGAGTTGTTTTTATTTTGTAAAATAGCTTGGGTGGGTTTTTTTTTTCCAATTAAAGAATAGAGTTATGAAGAATATATCATTAAAAAGTTGAACATAGAGATTAAGTATCAAATTTGCAAAATGTAAACATCTATTTTTTTGACACTGAGTCTTAAAAGAACATTTTTTTTGCTCAGGAAAATCAGTATTTTGTTCTCTTCATGCTGGGAAAGATCAAAGGTCAGAGAAAGAGAGGAAAACCCTCAAGCTGGGTTGTTATAGTGACTGTAACTCTGGGTTTAATCGTATCAGGATGGTGCAGGATAGGCCAAGATTCAGATCTGCTGTTTATAGAGTCTCTGAATTGTTTTCAACCTGTTGGCGCCTTACAAAAACAACAACATGTATTAAAGAGATAAATTATTCTATTTATCATTTCTTAAGTAATAATGTTTTATTAATCTATACTGAACACTGTGGGAGGATCTTTTACTTCCGAGTGTGGTGTTTCTCTTTTTCAGGTTTGGTTTACTTCTGGAGTCTTTATCCGCGCGGATCTTAGTGAATGGGGCATGAGTTTAACAATCAGGGCTCCTGGTTCAGATTACAGAAACACGCTGGGACTTTGCGGCACCTTTGATGGAAACCCGGAAAATGATTTCCATTATAAAAATGGAATAAAAATGGATCAAAATTTTAATAATTTTATCACTTTTATTAATGAATGGCGGTAAGAGAGAAATTTGTTTTCATTAGTGATTGTATTGATGTTCAAGACTTAAAATGGGAGACAAAGAAATGCTCTGCTTTTTTTACATTACTTAAAAAGTTCTTATTCAAATGACCCTTCTTTTTCTTCTTTAACAACTATCTTTTTTTAAAATTAATTTTAATGAATATTTACAGAAACTTTGGATTTCCATTCATTTATTGTTGCACTTTTCTCCCTACCCACCCCTCCCCGTTCAGTTTGTTCTTCTCTTTGAAAAGTAAAAGAAAAATTCTCTCATTGTTATACAATCCCTCCCCCTAAGTCCACTCCACTATGCAGCCTTTCTTCTGGACTCCTGTCATGACAATAATACCTAATCACATATCCCTTTCAACCATTTTCTCCCTCATCTGTTTCAATGCAATATACATAATTTATCCCATCTTTCTCAGTCTTCCCCCAACCTCGATGTCAGTCTCATTTTACAACAGTTCAAATAACCCTTCTTTTCTGTTTTTTTCTGCTCGAAGAATTTTGCCCGGACAGAGCATGTTTGATAGAGTGCCAGCTTCTCTTACATCACCTGGGAAAATACCTTTCTGTAGCTGCTCAGTGAATTTGGCTTCATCGCATCTGTCTTCTCATTTGCTGGACACCGTTTCTCAATCAGAAATTGTTTCAGGTTGCAAAGATATCAAATACACCACATTATCGTCTTTAATACCAGAACTAGATATCACTTCTGAATATATTAAGCCAGAAACTCTTTCCAGAAATATGAGCAGGCATGCATCTGAAGAAGAAAGTGATTTGAATTCCTTTCCTCCAGCACAAAAGCAGGCAAACCAAAGCCAACTGGAATTCAACTTACAAACACATACTAAGAGTGAAATACAAGATGGAACAACTTTGCCCAATAGGAAGCATACACAGGACCAAGAAGGGCATGTCCAAGGAATGAGGTGGGACTCACAAAATAGGTTTAAACGACAACATTTTTACGAGTTTCTTTCTTGGCTTGCTTCTCCCAGTCTTAGTCCTATTGAACTAAAAGAGGTTAATTATTTTTTCCCTGAGGACCATGCTGATGATGCCCAACGAGAGTTTGTCCCTTCCTGGCCCACCCCCTCTGGTGTCACTGAACATACCGCTATGGCACTTTGCCAGCAGACTCTAGCCAACTCCAGCATAGGAAGGCACTGTGGTACTTTTCTCAGCAAGAGATTAGGCAGTGTTATAGATATGTGTGTAAAGGATGTACAGTTAAAAGATGACCTTAGCTGGGCCCAAGCAGGTGTGGCTCTTTTAGAAAATGAATGTGAGAAGAGGATTTTGGAAGAGGGAAAGCACAACACAGAAGACCATGGGAAGTTGATTGGAGACATTCTCTTGGAATTTAAATGCCCCGGTCTATGCAGTGATAACGGGCAGTGCATGGAATGGGGATGTGCCTGTTTCCCAGGCTTTAGTTCCCATGACTGCAGTGGTGTCTATGGTAAGTACCCTCAAGCTGTGATACTGTGCACTCTACTTGAATTTGGAGGCTTGCTGCTGCTTCTTTTTTTTTCCTTTCCACTGCAATCTCATAGAATTTCTTCAGATTTTATAAAAATAAAACCACTGCTGTCAAGTCAACTCTGATTCATTGTCAACCTCCACTGGGATTCCGAGATTGTAAATCCTCAGGGGAAGAGATTTCCCAGCTTTCTCTTGAAGAGCATTTAGTGTATTTGAACTACTGACCTTTTGGTTAACAGACCGATTCATTATGCAGTATACCACCAGGGCACTTTTGTACAGGAATAAAATGCCAACATTTAATAATTAGTGAATAGTTTAAAAAAATCCTTGTTCTTTATAATACAAGCTAAAGTCTGTTATAGTAGCCTAGAAGGCACAACCTGATCTGACATGCAATCTTTTTCTAAACTCACTCCTACTACTGTTCTCTCTCACTCCACCCCAGACACTTTGACCTTGATGTTGTTTTTTGAAAGTATCTGCTTGTCTTTTTTCAGGGATTTTCATGTGTTGACCCATTTACCTGCTGTTCTTTCACTAATCCTATAGCTCTTTCTCTTATCTATTTCAAGTTTGTGGTCAAATGTCACTTCAGTGAGGCCTTCCCAGCCATTGTAATCATCAATATCTAACAAGTCATGGTTTACTTACTTATTTTGTTTATTGTCTGCTTCATAGCTAGAAAGCATATTACATAAAAGTAAAGAATTTTGTGTGCTTGTTCAGTTCTGTTTTATCAGCATCAGATCAGTGACTACTACATAGCAGGTGATCAAAACTTGTAGTTGAATAAGTGAAAATTTGTTAAGTGTTTTAACCTTTATTATTTACTCTTTGTTCTTGTATATGCTTTATTAGGAAATGTTAAGTGAATAGCAGATATTTGAAAAAAAAAATCCTATGTCTTCTGTCAGCTATAGCCCCATTTTTTGGCTCCAAAACAACAAGAAAAAAAAATCTTACAATCACAGCAAACATGTTTTAATTTTTTTAAACCAAGGTCAAAATAGGAGCATTCAAAATTAATGTGTTGTGTAGCTAACTACATTCATATTACTCTGAAAGGAGGTGCAAATCTAACCAATGCTGGAAACTCTGTGGTGGTTCTAATTCAACAGCAGCTTTGAGGAAGAAAGATGTGCGATTTCTTCCTATGAATTTGTAGCCAGCCCTGGAAACCTACTGAAGGGTCAGCTATGAATTGATTCTGACTCTATAGCAATGAATTCTTTCTTCTTCATCTGCTTAACTAACCCAAATGGCAAAACCAAAGTATATGCTATTCCACTAATAATTTCTTAATGTTGTTGTTGTTAGGTGCCATCCGGTCGAGTATGACTCATAGCAACCCTATGAACCACAGAACTGAACCCTGTCCTACCCTGTGTCATCCTCATCATCTCTGACTTCTCCTTTACTGATATAAAATATCTTTAAAACATTTATGAAAATCCTATATTTAGACACTGGTAGTCTGGGCAGGACAGGATTCAGAGCTCTTGTGCATAGGGTCTCTGTGAGACACAGGTGACTCCAAGGCACATAACAACAGTGCCTACCTGTGTGCTATACCTTATTCACTTATGTGCTGTTGTTGTTGTGTGCCACAGGGTCGGAACCAGGCCACAGCTGACCCTCGATGGGTTTTCAGAGGCAGTAATTGCACAGGGGGAGCTTGCCCATCCTTCTCCGCAGAGCAGCTGGCGGCCTCAGACCACAGCACAGCATCTTGCCGCTAGGCTACAGACAATAATTGTGTTGTTGTAGTTGTTGTTCTGTTTTGTTTCTTTAGAGTTCTAGTACAAAATTCTAAAAAATTTGCCAGTGCCTTGGAATCACTGCTCTGTTGTTAATAGTATCTAATTTCAAATACAGTTCAACATATGACATACTATTGGTAGTGGGTACTAGATATTTCTATTTACTTGATATACACTGATGAGGTTTTTTTTTAAGTAATTTTTTTATTGTGATTTTTTAATGCCTGGTTATTTTTAATATTTGTTGTTGTTGTTAAGTGCCATCGAGTCACAGGCGACTCATAGCGACCCTATGAAAGAGAGTCCTCGACCCTTGGGTGCCTTCCATCCTCTCTCCAGGTTCATAGGGTTTCCAGAGGCAAGCATTATGGAAGTGGATGCCACTCCTCCTTTTTAATATTTAATGATTTAATTAATTTAGTAGATAATATTTAGAGCATACTTTCAAACATAATCTTGCACATGATTTTACTTTTGGCCTTGATATTAGTTTCTTGTATAATTTAAATTTTTTTTTCTATTTCTCCTTACCCCAAGATAAAGCTCCTAAAATCACAGAGCTTGAGAATGCTGGATATTGTGATGTTCGAAAATACAATTGTATGATGGTGAGAATTTTTGGTTTAGGTTTCAAAGAATCATCTTCAATTAAATGTGAAATTATTAAACTTCAGGTATGTGAATTATGAAGTTGATAAAGAATTAGATCTTGTAACTTGTTTACATTAACTTCATGTTAGATTAATCTGGTGTATCAATTAGCAAAATAATTCTAAAAAGTGAATATGATTACATAGAATTTGAACAAGAAAATGGTTAAAATTGCTTAACCTTAAATTTTGTTTTGCTTTGTTTTATTTATTATTAATTTCAGTAAAAATTTACAGAGACTTTGGATTTCCATTCATTCATTGTTGCACTTTTCTCTCCTCCCACTCCTCCACCGTAGTACACCACCCTCTTGGAAAAGTAAAAGAAAAATTCTTTCATTGTTTTACAAACCCTCCCTCCACTCCGCCATGTAGCCTTCGCTCTAGACTCCTGTCATTACAAAAATACCTAATCACATATCCCTTTTCAACAGTTTTCTCCCTCATCTGTTTCAATGCAGTATACATCATTGAACCCATCTTTCTCAGTCTCTCCCCAAATCCACTGTTTTACAACAGTGGCACCTTGCAGTATTTGTCCTTTTACGACTGAGATACTTCACTCAGCATAATGTCCTCTAGAGTCACCCATTTTGAATAATATTGCATGAGTTCCTTGTTTTTCAATGCAGCATAGTTTTCCATTGTGTGAATATACCACAGCTTCTCTAGCCATTCATTCGTTGATGGGCACTTGGGTTGTTTCCAACTCCTTGCTATTGTGAACAAAACTGCAATAAACATGGGTGTGCCTATATCTGCTTGGATGTCAGTTATGGTCTCTTTGGGGTATATTCCCAGTAGTGGAATTGCTGGGTCAAATGGTATCTCTATTTGCAGCTTTTTGAGAAAGCTCCACACCACTTTCCACAGTGGTTGCACTATTTTACACTCCCATCAACAGTGAATAAGGGTTCCAGTTTCTCCACAACCTCGCCAGCATTTGTTGCTTGCTATTCTGTTAAATTTTGCTATTCTGTCTGGGGTGAGATGATATCTCATAGTTGTTTTGATTTGCATTTCTCTTAGAGCTAGGGATTTTGAACATTTCTTCATGTGTTTGTCAGCCATCTGAATGTCTTCTTTGGTGAAGTGTCTATTCATATCCTGTGCCCATTTTTCTATTGGATTATTTACCTTTATCTTGTGGTGCTCAAATATTTTATAAATTCTGGATATAAGTCCCATATCTGGTATGTCATTACCAAATACTTTTTCCCAGTCTATGGCTTCCCTTTTTACCCTGCTGGAGAAGTTTTTGGACGTGCATAAGGATTTGATTCTTAGAAGATCCCATTCACCTATTTTTATCTTCTCGTGGTTGTGGGTTAACCTTAAATTTTATCCATTTACTTTAATCAAAGACCTTGAAGAAATTTTGACTCACTATTTTAAGCCATATTTCTCCTTATAGAGAGCAAGTTTGTCCGAGAGAGGGTGAAACCAGGATGCTCCTTGCACCTACTTTGAACAAGTTGCAAGGCGGGACCAGTCCTTGGAGAAGGACATCATGCTTGGAAGGGTGGAGGGACAGTGCAAGAGAGGAAGACCCTCGATGAGATGGATTGATTCTGTGACTGGGGTAATGGGAGTAGGTGTGTCAGAGACAATACGATTGACACAGGATAGAGCAGGGTTTAGGGCTGCTGTATTTAGGGTCACTATGAGTCACAGGCAACTCAATGGCATGTAACAACAACAACAAAACAACATTTTAAGCTAAGAGAAGGCAAAGATCATATCTGTTGTTCATAGGGTCAGTATCGATGGCACCTAACAACAATCATTTTAAGCCTTGGTAAGAAATTTTTCTTTTAGAAATAAAATGAATATCGAACTGATATGTAAATTTCTGTATTTCTTCAAAAGCAAAATCACATAGAGGAGATAGTTCTTTGCTAGCCAGTACACCCAGAAATTAATTTTAGGATATTTAGTTAGGAATATTTCTCTCTTACATGCTCAAAATATGGAGATTAATTGGTCTTATCCCACACCTTATATTTCCCCTAATGTGAACTTTACTTTAAAAAATTGATGCCACAAAAGATAGCCAGGATCACTGTTTAAACATTAGTATATCAAATGATACCTTCTATTTGATGACTATTCATGTAATTACATTTTGTTTGTATGATTAGATGAATAGATTAGATCCTTCATATGAATAGGGAGTTCTAGTGGCCTAGCAGGAGAGGAGTTTCACTCCCGACTGAATAACAATTGATTAGTTAGGATATTAAGGAGGTCTTAGTACTTAGAGAATGACATTGTGCTTGAAAAAGTGGAGAAGTCAGCAAAGAAGAAGACTGTTGATGAGACAGAGTGACACAATGACTACAACAATGAGTGTCAGTACAGTAGAGATTGTGAGGATGACACAGGGTTTCATTCCATTGCTATGAGCCAGGACCAATTTGATGGTTTTTAACAACATAACTATGAAAGCAGGATCACATCCACTTCCTAAACATGCCTCTGGAAACTCTATGAACTTGAAGAAACTACGATAGTTTTGGAAAGGCTTCATGAGGTCTTTTGTTCAGGGTCACTATGAGTCGTGCTCGACTCAATGGGAATCAACAACAACATAACATTTATATTATCTTCCTTTTCTTTGTTCAAGTGGAATTTTAAGGAAGACTTCTAATTTATAAAGAATTTTACATGCATAAGCTGATAATGATAATCAACTATAAGTTACATTTATTTTTATTTAAATTAATGATGCTAAATATGATTTGTCACGAGACTGACAATTTACAGGGTGAAATGATTTTTTTATGAGACATTTATTCATAAGGAATATGTATGTGTAGAAATATTTAAGAAGAGAGCCTTTTTTGAATGAACTATGAATCATTTTAACCCCAAAGAAGGAATTGTTGGGTTGTGTACCATTGACTCAGAACTGGCCCAGATCTGATCCTCCAGCGGGTTTTCAGAGGCAGTAAATTGCACAGGAGGAGAATGCCCCTCTTTCTGCTGCAGAGCAGCTCGTGGATTTGAACTGTATACCTTTTCATTTACAGCACAATTTCTTATCACTAAGCTACAAGAGCACCCTAAATGAAATAATAAAGCACATGATATGAAAAATAATTTTATTTACTTTAACATTAAACAAGAGAGTGAACATTATATTGGTCTTGGCAGAATCAATCATAGCACACAATACTGCAGTTTATATGCCAAGAAAGAAATATGTAGATTTATCTTGTCTTAGGAGGTACATTTTGTTTTTGCTGTCATATTTATTATTGCTGTGGTATTTCTTAGAAATGTCTCTCAAACATCTGATAAATAAAAAATAACTATGGAACCAAATTAAAATTCTCACATACATGATAAAAATGAATTGATTCCCATGACAAACCAAGATTAAAACATAGTATTTATTTTATATTGTGCTGAAGGTTTTTTACTTGGTCTCTCCTTACCTTAAAACCCTTTTACAGTGAATTTTAAAGGATTGACCTTTTGATTCAAACAAAAATACCTAATTCAATTTTGTTTTAGAATCCTCAATATTACCTGAATGAAGCCTATATAAAGCCTTGGACTTGATTTGTTTGGAATAAGACAATCAAGCATCCCCTTGCAAAAGATGATAAAACTTTCCTTCTTAGCTTCCTTGTGTATAACTAGCCAGTATAAGTTGATTTCTACCTCTGGTGGCCTATTGGAAAGAAGCTGTCCTGAAATCCAGGAGGCATGTCGTTTGAACCCACCAGTTGCTCTGTGGAAGAAGGACGGGCAGTCTCCTCACATGTGGTTAAATGTTTCTGAAAATCTGCCTGAGAGTCAGCTATGGATCAGTTCTGACTCAATAGTAGTACACACCACCACCACCCATTTTTCTAGTTTGCATTCTAGTTTCCTGTGGGGGTTAGGCTCTTCTTAAAAATTTAATTTCTCATATGTCAGATCATACATGCATAACTTATGATTCCTATTGCATGGAAGAGTACAGTTTTAAAGGTTTTTTAAATTTTAGGATAATTTGACACTTGCTGATGGTTTGCAAAAGCAGCACAGAGATTTGCCAGTTATCCTTCATTTAGGTTCTCCTAAAACCAATATATCCATAAATTTTATATATCTATAAAGCTATTATTAAAACGAGGAAGTAAATCATTATACTATGTTGTTATGGGCCATCAAGTAAGAACTGACCCTCCAGCAGGCTTTCAAGGCTGTAAATTGCATGCGAAGACATTGCCCATCTTTCTTCTGTGAAGAATCTCCTGTAGAGAATCCTGTGAATCCAAGCTGTCTGCCTTTGTATTGGCAACAAAACTCTTTACCCACTAGGGCTTCAGAGCTCCCACTATATTCACTTATTTATGGAAATAAGGTTTTTTTTAAAAAAGTTAAAAATTTGCCAATTTTTCAACTAATACTCCTTTATTTGGTTCAGGATTCTATCTAGGATTTGATTGTATCTGGCTGCCACATGTCTTATTGTTAGGTACTGTTGAGTCTATTCTGACCATTAAGGACCTTATGTAGAATAGAACAAAGCAAAACTTGATCCTGGGCCATTCTCACTATGATTGCTTTCTGTGAGCCTGTTGTTGCAAACACTGTGTCAATCCATCTCATTGAAGGTCTTCACCTTTGTCAATGATCCTCTACATTTCCAAGCGTCCTCTGAAGGCAGGTCCTTTTGGATAACATGTACCAAGGAGAGAAGATGAATTCTTGTCATCTGTAGATGACAAGTACCAATCTAAGTACCAATCTCATTGTACTTCCAAGACAGATTTAGTTATTTTTTGGAAAGTCCATGACATTAAAAATATTCTTTTCAGACACCCTTGCTCACATTCAAAAGCATTGATTCTTCTTTAATCTTCCTTATTAATAGTCCAGCTTTTGCATGCTTGTGAAGAGGTTGAAAATAGCTTGGGTCATGCTCACTTTAATCTTCAAAGTGACATCTCTGCTTTTTAAAGAGGGTTTTATTTTGTCACAGATTTTCCAAATGCTATACGTAGTATAGTTTGATTTCTTTACTGCTGCTACCATACAAGTTGGTTATGGGTCCAAATGAAATTAAATCTGCAACAACTGGATTTATTGTTTTTTCTTACGATGATGTTGCTTATTGTTTAGTCTGGGGAAAGACTATATCTTAGTCACCTACAAATCATGACTGTGCTTTAGACTGTTATTCATATACTTGGAAGTTTTGAAGAGTACTGGCCAAGTAGTTTGTTGAATGTTCCTTATTTGGGTTTGCCTGATAAATTCCCCATATCAATTGAAGGTGTACGATTTTTGACAAAAAGACTACTGACTAGTGATGTGCCATTCTCAGGAAATCCTTTTGGGAACTATGGAATGTTGATTTGTTGTGTTACTGGTTATGCAAATTTTAATCACTTATTTAAATGGTGACTACCAAATTTTTATGCTGTAAGGTTACATTTTTTTGGCTTATAACTAGTAAATAGCTGGTAAGGGGGATTCTTTCAGAGTATGCAAATATATATTTATCCTCATAGTCTTGTCCATTATTTTAACATGCATCTGTAAGTTTTGCTTACAACAAGTACCACATGTTGCCAGGGTCCAGGTGGCATTTTTTTTTCTTTACTTATAGAAATAAGTGTATTTTGTTTTGAAGTTTTATTTGATTCTGCTAATTACCTATGGTGGCTTTCCCACATGTTATTCCATCTTATTTTAGTCCATTATGGCAACAAAAATTGATATTCTAGATGCTGGCCCTGGAAGCAGTCCTCAGAATAGAGCCTTTGGAATCGCAACACACGTTCCACTAGGCCACCAGAGCTCCCTATGTGTGAATAGGGCAAAATCTCCAGAGCTCTGTTTTATTATCATTCTACTTAAGTCAAAAGCCATTACAGAGTAATCACTTCTAATGGCCTAAACCTCTTTGTTTTGAGCCTTCAGCAAATTCTTGAGTCGGAAGAGAAGCAATTTACACAAAGATATGTATTTCACAATTCTAAATAAAATTTAGTATCAATGTAACTTTTGTTTTCCCCATTATATATTTTGTTATATTAGATACATATCTTGAAATTTTTATTTGATCATGTGTAATTCACTAGCAGTCTATTTCCATAATTTAACGGATGTTAATTGCTTTCTCATTATGCCTTCAGTATAATGGCAGTGAGTGGGTTCTTGAAGAACCGATCTATACCCGTGCTGTTTTTCAAAATATCACAAGTGTTGATTGTCAGTTGCCCATTGACGTACAGCAATCTAATACCATAGACCCGATGGGTGAGAAACCAGTTGTGAAGTGGCAAGTAAAGGTAAAAAAACCTCTGCAAATTAAAATTTCATAATACATTTATGAGGCTACATTTAGAACCAAATTATCTTATTATAAAACTTCATATTACAGGTATCTAATGATGGCTATAGTTTCAGTAATCCCCAAATAATGGTCATATATGATGGTTCTTGTTATGTTTGTGGTCTCCATGAAGATGACTCATGTACTATAAAGGTATGTATCAGTTCATTTATTTTCACACTTACAGAGCAGATATTTTGATTTCAGATGCTGCATGATCTATTTCCTGTAGTTTTTCCAACTGTATACCAGAAATATAGAGAAAGAAAACCTTTTTGCCAGCTTATGATAGTTGTCAGAACAGAGCAAGGAAACGCTTCATGGATCAAAATTGGGAAGGGTGTGCATCAAGGATGTGTCCTATCTCCTTATCTTTTCAATCTATATGTGGAACAGATTCTCCAGGAGGCTGGGCTCTATGAGAAGTGTGACATCAGGATTGGAGGTAGACTCATCAATACTCTGTGTTATGCAAATGACACAACCCTGAATGCTGAAACTGAGGAGGACCTGAAGTGCTTGCTACAGAAGGTCAAGGACTGGAGCCTTCAATATGAATTGAAGCTCAACATCAAGAAAACAAAGATTCTCACCACTAGGCCAATTGGCAACATCATGATAGATGATGAAGAGATTGAGATTGTTGACAGGTTCAGTTTGCTTGGCTCTACAATCAACACTCTTCTACCAGCAGCCGGGAGGTTAAAAGACGAATTTCATTGGGAAAGTCAGCTGTTAGAGACCTCTCCAAAGTACTAAGAGCAATGATGTCAGTCTGGAGACTAATGCATCAGAGAGCTGGACAATGACTAGGAATGATAGAAGAGTTGATGCCTTTTGAGCTGTAGTGCTGGAGAATAGTATTGAATATACCATGGACTGCTAGGAGAACAAACAATTTCATCCTGGAGAGGGTGAAGCCAGGCTGCGCCTTGGAGGCAAGGACTCTGAAGCTTCGTCTGACATACTATGGACATGTTGCAAGACGGGATCAGTCCTTGGAAAGGGACATCATGCTTGAGAGGGTGGAGGGAAAACACAGGAAAGGAAGACCATCAATGCAATGGGTTGATTCACTCACTGGGGTAATGGGGATAGGTGTGTCGGAGACAATAAGATTGGCAAAGGATAGAGCAGGGTTTAGGGCTGTTGTACATGAAGTTGCTATGAGTCTCAGGTGACTCGATAGCACATAAGAACAATAACAGCAGCAGCAGCAGCAGCAGCAGCAGCAGCAGCAACAACATATAAATGAAGACTGTACAAACATGAGAAAAGCTCTCCTACCCTGTTGTAAATCTCCTATTACTCTGGCAGAGTGTTACACTGTGGTGGCTGGTGTGTTGCTGTGATGTCCCTCTTATTTCCAGTATCAGCAGCCACCTATGGGGGACAGGCTTTAGTGGAAGAGCCAGACTGAGACTACATAGGAAGAAGAAAATTATAATCTTCGGAGGGGAAAAAAATTGACTAATGCTTTTGGCTTGAGGGTTACAAAAGCCAAAGTTTGGGTGGTCCTTTAGTCCTATATACTAATTGTTTCCATAACTATCTTTGATTTTTCTTTGTTCTTCTTCTTCTTTTTTCCCCTGGATCTGGAAAAACTAATAGTTGCACCTTAGATGGTTGTTCACAAGCTTTTAAGATGTCATTACTATTCACTGAAATAGGATGTGTTGTTGTGGTGGTTGTTAAGTGCCATCGAGTCGCAGGCAACTCATAGTGAACCTATGAAGGAGAGTCCTTGACGCTTGGGTGCCTTTCATCCTCTCTCCAAGTACATGGGGTTTCCGGAGGCAAGCCATTATGGAAGTGGATGCCACTCCTCCTTCCACGCTTGTTCAATCGGGGAGCTCCACCCCACTCTCAGTCCCCATTGGGTAGCCAAACATTAACGCATTTGACACATCCGTGTCACAGTGTTCAGCCTCACAGCAACCACAAGTGACCGCGGGACGGCAACTTGTACACCAGGGCTATACGACCTAGAGGAATGTCTGAACAAAAACAATGAAAGACTGGCCCAAGGCCAAGCGTGGCTTCCCTGGCTCCTGGAGGCAGAGTCGCCTTTCTCCAAAGACTGCCACAACACAAACACAACACAACTCTGACATACACAGCACCATCCTCTCTGGCCAAAGGATCACAGCCACGAAGTAGGATGTAGAGCATTTTATTAATAATCTATGTTCTGCTAATTGACCTTGACTACAGGTGTACTTTCAAAATGTGTTTAAACCAGTTTTTTAAAAATTATCTTGGGTCTATGTTGATCTTAGTTTTGTATAACTTTCTTAATGGTGTCAAAGGAAATAATAGAAAGTGTTCAATATTTATATATCACATATAAGATATGTTCTTTTGTCATGTTAAAAGTGACTGCTACACTTAACAAATGCTATTTCTGTATGTGTCAATTTCCTTTCCAATTTTTTTGTGTAATGATATTTATGATCAAGTGTGGATAATTATGCCATGGTTCGGATTCAACTTGGTTGTGACAATAGTAGGTTGCTGAAATAATGAACATCACCTATAAACTAACATGAGTTTATCAACAAAAAGATAAAAATAAAATGAAGGTTTCCCCTCATTTTTTTATAAGCCCAGTAATTCTGAACAAAGATATAACTTTTGCTGTATTTGTTTTCTATTGTGTATTATTTATAACTATGAGGCATAGAAATTTTACCTTCTAACCATATAATTAATTGGCATAATTGTATAATAATAGCTGTATTTATATACCTATATATGGATATATTTATAGAGTTGTATGTTCATTGGTATTTTCTTCTTTTTAAAAACTTCACTAGGAAAACATTTGCATTATTGATGGAGTCTGCTATGTAGATGGAGATACAAATTCTGCAAACCCTTGTTTACTGTGCAGATCTAATGCTTCAAAATTCACTTGGTCATTTTTAGAAAGTAAGTTTTTCTTTATTGATCTATATATTTCCATAAAAGATATTTTTATACGAATGAGTCAAGTATGATTGATTATAGCTTCGTGGCATTCCTGCGTCCCTAATTCAGGGAGTTTTGTGTCCAGTACAATGTGAGGACACTGATGTTTCATTTACTAAGCCCATGTGTGGGGAGTTCTGGTGATTTAGTAGTAAGGAGTTGTGCTGCCAGCTCAAAAGGCACATGGTTCAAAACTACTCAATGGGAGAAAGAGGGACCGTCTCCTCCCATGTGATTTACTGCCTCTGAAAACTCACTGGAGGGTCAGCTATAGGTCAGCTCTGACTCAACCTTATGGAATAATAAGTCCATGAGTAAATCATCTGCGTAGAGTGAGTCCTCTGTGCAAAGTAGAAACCACTGCATAGGGTGTTCAAGGCCGTGCTATTTCCAATACAGATCATCAGGCCTTTATTTTGATGTGCCTGTGGGTAGGTTTTAATGGCCAGCTTTCAGTTAGCAGTTAAGTGCTTAATCATTTGTGCCATTCTTGATTGTCATGACTACAGCATGGAATGATCAGGGGAGAGAAATAAGCAATTCAGTCAATAGGCAAGTTTATTTGGAAAAGAAAGAGACCTCAAATAAGCAAAGCACTTCTGCAAAACAAAAATTTAGTGGAAGACATAGCCCTCCCTGATCTCAAAATCTATAACACAACCATAATAACCTCAACAACATGGCACTGGAATGATGACAAACACATAGACCAACCAGAAACAGAACCTAGAACCTGGAAATTAATCATCTACCAATGGAAAATGGGTATTTGACAAGGAAACAAAACAAAACAAATGGGGGAATAACAACCTCTTCAACAAATGGTGCTGGTAAAACTGGACTGCTACCTGCAGAAAGCTGAAGCAGGATCAACATCTTGCATCATACACAAAAATGAAATTGAAGTGTATCAGAGACCTAGGGGTAGAACTCCACACCATAAAAATCATGAGATAAATAAAATCCTTGACAATTTCACTCTTGTCTCCATCTATCATGAATTTTGGTCCATTGGTGAGTTTTGGTTTTTTGATGTTGAAGTATAATCTATACTGAAGGTAGTTAGTCTTATTCAATATATGCTTCAATATATCCTCATGTTTTGTAGACAAGGGTGTATCGTATATATAACGTATATAGATTGTTGAATGAGTCTTCCTCCAGTGGAAATTTTAGCAAAGATCAAAATGTTACCGTCAGTGCGAGCGCTCCACATCACACTTTTCCTTTCTTGCATAGGTACAAAATGAAATGTTTTCTCTGTTACAGGCAACCAACCCCCAGTAATTGAGCTACTACAGGAGAAATTTCAGACATTTTATGGGAAAAACTTTGTGTACCAGCTCATGGCATTCGATCCAGAAGGTTCAGACATCCATTTTTCCTTAGAATCTGGTCCTGAAGGATCAAGTGTTTCCTCCACAGGACTCCTTATATGGAAAACAGAGTTAAAAACACCTCAGCAATTCTCTGTACTAGTCAAGGATGACTGCAATGCTGAAACTAGAGTCTCAATTGAGGTAGTTATTTGTTATTTTATAAGTACCAATATTTTAAGAATAGTAACAACTATAACTACACACATATATACACACTCACATTCACTCACTATTCTTTGAAAGAATTCAAAACTTTAGGCCGAAGTTTCAGTCCCAATTTTGGATCAAATCACAAGCTCTTACACTACTTTCTTATAAATTGAACTATGATAAAGTGACAGAATTTATTTATGTCCATCTCCATTAAAGATCTGCACTTATTTATGGTTAAAACCATTGTCATTGAGTAAATTCTGGGTCATAGTGAATGCTTTTTTCTGCCAAGTGAGTTATTTTTTAAATCTCAGATCTGATATTAGAAATCAAGATTATATATAACCTTGAAATTACAAACTTGCAACTATTTTAAAGTTCACCTTTTTTTTGTTGTTGGTCATGAGCTCTTTATAAACTCCTTTTGTACACTATTCTCACATTAATTTTGGAATATTCTTTTCATAGGATCCTTGTTTTAAAGGAAAATTGGGTTCCTTATCATATGAACCTTGTTGTTGTTGTTATGTGCC